CACACCATCAACTCAGAACAGCTATAAAACCACTTATGATAACCAACAAAGTGCCTGTTAATTTCTCTCCTCCATAGAAATATCATGTCCAACAATGAACCACATGCTCCAACAGCTGGTACAAGATGAAAGAAAAGCTTCTTTGAAAGGGCCATCTGTTCACCCATAGCATAAGCATAAGCATATGGAGATATTTCTTCACGTAAAGATCTAAAATGCAAAGATGATATCCTCACACTTATAGGCTCAAATTAACTATAATAAATGTGGGAAAGTAAATAATTCTTTTCTGCAGCAGTCTGATTTTCAAAAACTTTGATAATTAATGGACAAAGTGTGAATTGCTGAGAACATTGTATTGAGACAACTTAGAGCCCAATGAGGAGAGTGGAACGAATAACTTAGAGCCTTATTAAGAAGGGTAGAGGAAGGTGAAAGAGAATACTTTTGGAAATTGTTGATCAAGATCTCTTAACTAACAACATTTCTAAAAGCTTGGTATGTGATAGATAACAACGGCGTCGTACAATCCGTGTAGCCGACCCTATCTAGTGAGATAAGGTTTGTTGTTGTTGTTGTTGTATTGTATTGAGACAACATGAGAGGGTAGCAGTTGAAGCACATATATTGCTGAAAAATTGAAAATAAGCCACTCCATGCATTCAGGAACAAATAGACATAAACCATAGCATTGAACCATCACCAAGCATGTAACCAGCAAAGTTTATGGGAAAAGAACCAATATGAGATGCATCCAAAGAAAATATTTTGGCATAACAATATAAAGGATACAGGTTATAGGAATAGCAGATTTACATAGACTATTAAATGATTGAGAAAGAGAGAAAGTAAAAATGTTGTCAGCAGCTATATTGACTATATTGAAAATAAGGTGGAATTGTATGTCATACATGTGAAAGTCCAAAGATTCGAAAGAACATAATATAACTAAGGTTCAATTGGTAGTCTTTTCTACAGCTAAGCCTTCTTAGAAACCAACAAAGATCTGCCCCTACCTGGCTGTCTGATCTTTGAATTCCTCGACTGCTTTTGTTTGTGAACCCAATCACAACAGTTATAACAATAGTCACTGCATTCAGTCCAAAACCTAAAGCCGTGGGTGTTATTAAGGAAAAAGAAATTCAAAAAAAAAAAAAGTTTTGTATCCATTCAGAAGCTGAAACCAAAATCTGAAAATGAGGATATATATCTTCGAAACACTCTGAGAATCCCTTTCCATCCCATACCTGTAAACCAGAAAATGTGTGAAAACCCATTCATGACTAGATATGTTTGAAACTTCAAATCTTTAACGAACAATTTAATATATATTTACTCTAAGATTTTTCTCAAAAACCCTGTAAAAATTACTACCCTAGTCATTCTGTCATCAAAGCGAAGATCAACTTCAGCTCAAAGGAAAAACAAAAACAGAGTTAAAAGGATCTGTTTCTTCCATCACTCAATGTATATTATACGGTAAACGTAGATAGTGAGTCTTCTTAATATCAGTTGATCCCAATTTGTGAATTGGGTGGAAAATGAGTACACGTAGAATACGATATAGCCTTACAGATAAACATTTCAATGTAGAACTTTTGAAATGTCAAACAGCTTAAGTCACTTAAACTGATAACAAAGACACAAAAAAATTATTCGTCACTTTAACTGTCAGAAATGTTGGCTTTAAACCAACTAAACAATTAAACATGACCAGATATGTTCTAAAAGCTTCATTTTTTCCTATCTTCTTTGCTGAGGAACTTATTTTGATCATTCTTAGCCGCCAGAGAGTTAGGCGAAAGAAAAAAAAAAACTTATGTAGAAGAAAAGCCTAAGAGAATTATATTGTACGAAGATGAAGTGAAAGAGACGAGAAATGCATACCGTTGGAGAATTAGGGCAAATTAGTGCTAAAAACTCGTCCATTGATTGAAGAGCTTGGCTTGCAGGAAGAACTGCCAGGTGGGTTTTCTTTCGAAGGAGAAAAGTATTAAACTTCGGACTTGGAAGTCGAGAGTAGTCAGGTGTGAGCGTATCATAATGCCGTTCCCATGCAAATGTCAAAGGCAAGAGTGTCGTTGGCACACAAAACAAAAGGATGTAAAATTATTATTTCGTTTTTAATCATCCACGGGGCTTTATAATTGACTGATAATTGATAAGTTGTTGTTTTGACTGCTGATGTACCCTTCAGAGATCCATTGTCACCCACAAACCGAGATAGCAGTAAATTTGCCTAACAGTCTCATATAGTAATAAAGTATTTTAAAAAAAATATTAGTAAATTTTATTTCACTTAATAATAATTCCATTTAAATTTATTACTCTAAATTTTTGAAATTATAATCATAATTGTAGTATGCGATAATTTGAAAAATATGATGTCATTAAAAAATACCCCATCCATCCTATTCATATTTATAGGAGAAAAAAATAAGATTTTTGAGCACTATTTATAAATTACATAATTAAATTTTCAATTCAAATTTTCTGTTTCACCTTCTATTAACTGTTAAATAAAAAATATGTTTTTAAATTATGTATATTTAATAAAAGTAAATTTGAAAAATTATTAAAATTTTAAACAAAGTTAATGATTTTTTATTTTTTTAGTTTTGATTAAATATATTAAAAGTGATTTATAAATAAGATTAGATGTGTAATTTAAGTTGATGAAAGAAGCTCGTTAGTACTCATCTCATCCCATTCCAAATTATAAGATAACATTAGAAATATTTCTTTATTTCAAAATATAAGATAATTTGATAAAAATAAAATTTAATTAATAATTTTTTTAATATTTTTTTTAAATAAAAAATAATTAAAATAATTATAAATTTAAAATTATATTAAATAAAGAGTATTTTTTTTAAAATTTATATTTTTCTTAAAAAAAAAAGTAAGTTTATAACATGTGGTGCTTCCTCGTGAGATAAGTCCTCATAGCTCTAGTGCCCATACACCATTGTACACCATTTGGTCTTAAATAAAGAGCGCATTTAACTACCTTGTCAAAATTAAAAAGATATATTTAAATTATTAAAATAGTCCCAGAATGAAATGACTTTCCAAATATATCCCTATTTAAAGCATGAATGTAAAAAAATTTAGGAAGTTGTAAATAGAGGTGATTTTGAAAAAATAATAATAATTAATGCTTCATATTTTCACGCAAAATGATTAATATATAAAACTGTTAAATTGTCTTAGAAAATGACAAATATATGAGAATATCGTCTGTTACTCTCCTTTCTTTCTTCCCTTTTTTTGAAAAAATTAATTATTTCACCCACATAATTTTAATTCAATTGTAATTCAATTCTTAAATTTTGACTTGTTGTAGCTCTTTTTCTTTTGTTTTTGGCTAATGATTTGTTGTAACTCAACTCTTATAATTTTAATTTAGTTATAATTTAATAGTTAATACATGAACTTTAACTTTTACAATTTAATCCTTATAATTTCAATCACTTAAATAGTAATCTTTATACTTTAAAAAATAAAATTATAAGGATTAAAAATATTTTTAAAATTTTAATATTTATAATATTTTTAAAGATTAAAAGGGTTTAATAATTTAAAATATTAATAATAAAATTTAACATAATTTTAATTTTTATAATTTTATTGCTAATATCATAAATATTAAAATTTCAGAATTATAATTTTAATCTTTTAATCTTTAAATATTATAAATATTAAAAGTTGAAGATATTTTTAATTTTTATAATTTTATTTTTTAAAACATACAAACTAATATTTAAGTGGTTTTACAAACTAATATTTAAGTGGTTAAAACTATCGGGACTGAATTACAAAAAATAAATTTTAGAAAATGAATTACAGCTGAATTAAAACTATAGGAATTTAGTTATAATGGATCAAGATTTAGAGATTGAGTTATAACTAGATCAAAACTATAAAGATCAAATAATTAAATTTTTTCCTTTTTTTAATACAAAAATAGCTCAACTGGTGAGATAGCTGTTACTCCCTGCCTACTATGTTATGTGCTATGTTCTCTCTTAAATGTATAGTGACCCTTGATTGATGGATTCATTCATGCCTCTATTATTTTACTCATAAATTTCAGAGTGTATTTGTCAGCCTTTGAAAGTGGTCTGCTAGAACATAACCTTTGTTCTCCGTCCAAAAAAAAAAAAAAAAGAACATAACCTTTGTTCTCTACACTATTTTAACCATCTAATATCTAATAACAAATGAAAAGTAGCATGAATAGAATTCACAAGGGCCAAATCATCATCTATTTAAATATCAAATGGCTAATTTTTTTCTTTTTGGATTGAGAGAGAGAGAGAGAAAATAATTGCTAAACTTTTCTTCAAAGACGAAAATGGCCAACCCATTTCAAGCGGCTAATATTTAAAATGAGTGCTTTAAAAGGTACGTCAAAGCTGAGTGGGAGTGAGCTTTATGCAGAAGAAAATAAAAGGAACTGGAAAAGTTGGAATCTCTACACATATGCATGCATTATGTGCCATGAATATTCCCATTCAAAGCTCAGTCTTTTTACTTTAATGTATAGCTTTTGGCTTTCAAATTTAGTGCCCTTACGCATGCCTTTCAAGTCACAGTTCCACTTATACAAAAAGAGGACCACATCATATCTTTATCTTCTCAAAAAGAATATTTGATAGTACATCTGAATTTTGAGAATTTGAATTTAGATTTGAATTTAAATCAAATACTCCAATTAAATACGTGAGAATATATAAATTTGGATTAAATTATATAGCCTTGTCATTTGAAATTATAATCAGACTAACTCTCTCATTCTCTGTGTTTTCACTGTTGCCCTTTATCACTCTCATCTATTCTCTCAACTTCACATTATCATCTCTCACCAATTAAATAATAGATATAAGCTCATCACTCTCCTATTTTTTGCTTACTTATTTTTTTTCCTTTCAAATTTTTTATATCATCTAAACAAATAATTTTAAATACATGAATTTTAAATAATGAAGTTCTAAATGTAAAATCTAAATCCACATATATTAATCCAAATACTATCTTAAAAGTCTGAGAGGAATATTTAAATTAACTTTACACAATTCTGAAAGAACTAGGTTTGATCACTGAGCACAAAGATTTTGTGCATAAAGATACTTGATTTCCAAGTTCTTGGAGTAGAAATTGATGGCCTTTTCTAGGGATGAGCAATGATTTGAACTCAATAAAGACCATAAGCCACTTTCTAGATTGTGATTTCCAATATTCTCTGAATGGAATCAACTTGAAAGCGAAAAAAGCAAATGTCATGTTCAGAGGTTGAACAAAGCGATGGTGTGGTAGTGGCTACACTGTGCAGCAAAGCTTTGTATCAATGGAAGCCAAGCATATGCAGAATGCTTGGTAACCTGTCAAAGGATATCTGCAAAATTGATGGAGAAATATGAATTCAGTGTTTGGTGCAAAACCAAAGCATAACACCAAATTTCAAAACCAAAAAAAAAAAAAAAAAAACTAACTTCTTTCCAGCTGTATTATAAGTGCAACTAGAGAGAGGTAGACACAATGGTTAACTCAGCAAGAATATCATATGTGAGAACCAATCAATCTGATAGCGGACTAATTAAATGCATACACAAAGATCCTCCCTAGTTTTCAAAATTTGTGTCATTCAAAGTTTAAGAAGATGATAATTGCATAGGAACCAAAGCTGGATTTAAGGAAACTTTTATCATAATTATGATACGCACATAATTAACATTGCCTTGTCTTGTTTTACACCAGCTTCTATTACTAGGCAATTATTATCTGATTGATTCGGCTCTCACATTTAATATTCCTACTGAGTTGGATAGTAGATCCACTGTTACTCAAAGACTCCACTATGAGCAATGGCACAAATCCAAGAGGATTTGTCTGACGGCAATGAAATACACCACGGATTAGAATATTAGAGATGGTATTCCAGTGAGGCAACAACTATGAAAGCTGTTGATGAAAAAATTATGACCATTGACAGCACCTAAAAGGACCAGTATTTATAAATGCTGCTGAACAACACCCATATGATGGTGTCTCCAATGTTCATGAGCATGTGATGAAGCTAACGAATTATTGCAACAAGTTGAAATCTCTCAAGGTTGATTTGGGTGAGAGTTTTCTTTTGGGGCGTATTCTTGAGTCTCTCAAGGACTTCTTACAAAACTCGACGAAAAGAATGGACTCTCGATCAATTAATTGCTATTGTCACTCAGCAAGAGGAGTCTTTGAAAAGAAGAAACATTATAGCTCCTTCAATGAACATGACTCATCATATGACTAGCAGTAGCAAGCCAAGCTCTAGTCAGTAAAAGGGTACAAATTTCAAAGCACCATTTGATAAGAAGAAAGATGAGATAAAGAAGCATGATAAATAAGGAAGGAAGTTGAAGCCCAACAAGCAGGTCTTTAAAGGAAAATTCCAGTATTGCAAGGGGGCTAGACACATGATGAAAGACTACTATAAACTTTGATACCATTTGTAGTAAAATAATGCCAAAATAAATGAGGATAATTACCTTGAAGCATATCATGATTCATGGAGCAAAGCATTGCTAGATCTAAATTTGGTGAAAAGAGAATGCATTACTAGAAGAGAGAAAGCAACTCACTAGGAATACTCTCTTGCTGGAGTAAAGCAACTTATAATGTTTTTGCTTATAAAATCATGATGACCAAAATGTCTACTATTAGTGATCCTATTTCAAGATGATAGAGACATTTTGGTCATTATGATTTTATGACCAGCAACATTATAAATTGCTTTGCTCCAACAAGACAATACTACTCTCTTGTCATCAGTATGTGCTATCCGTGAGTTGCTTTCTCTCTTCTACCAATACATTCTCTCTTCACTGAATTCAAATGTGGAGCTTCTATGGATCACCATATGCTTTAAGGTAATTGTCCCAATTTATTTTGACATTATTTTACTACAAATGGTATTAGAGCTTATAGCAGTCTTTCATCTCATAGCTCAAGGCCCAACATACTTGAAGAAACTTTAAGCCCAAAGGCGTAATTCAAATCCCCAAATTGAAGTCTAATGTTCAAACCAAAATGTCCTGAATGGCAAATCAAATTCAAAATGATTAGTTTATACCTGTAATCCAAAACAAACTTGGATTTTTCCACCCTGCCTAGTTGCAGAATTGTTTGCCTCCCATTCTCCTGGACATATCATGGACAAGTTAACTAAAACTTCTTAAAGTCTCAGTTACAGTCAGCTCTAAAAGAAGCAGCAACTCAGTTATATATTATGAAGAGCTCCCATCTTTAAGCATTTGAGGTTTTCATCCTCAAATACATCTCAGTAATTCATTGTGTATAAAAAATTTTCAAAAGAGAGTAACTCAAAATACATGAAAGGATTAGAAAATTCAATAACTTTAAGTACCTATCTATCTATCTATTATTTCTGTGGAGGTGTCAAAATTAACTTGATAAGACTATTTTGTATAGAAAAATGGTGGAACGTGAAATGACACAGTTAATGCTAAGTCATGTTCTTCACTCCTATAAGGTTATGCAAAGATTGTCGTTTGTCAACCTTGGGGTGAAAAAAATGTGAATATGCCCTACTGTGCCTATTCACATTCTATCAATTTCTTTTTATTTTTACAGAAAATCTTACTAATCAAATTCTAACACCTGCACCTCATATAGATAGATAGGTAGATGGGCAGGTCAATAAATCAAGTTCAATCATTTTGAACTCTCAATACAACTACAGATTCCACTAGTTTAGGCTTCTACTATACCTCCAATGTCAGCTGGAAATTTTTTACTGATGCTTGGATCTGAAGTCCTGATCTTCCTTTATCTCTGAAGTCCAGTTCAAACTGCTTTGAAATCTGAAGTAAACCAACAGGTAATACAGTCAAGTTCAAATGTCTGACCGTTACATGACAAAGTAACATGTTCTTTTAGGCTCATACCTTGTTGTAAATTGGCATTCTTGAGAATAGCTGATGGACTTTGTCCAGATTTTCCTCCCAATCTTTTGGCAGTCCTTTGATATGTTGTACCTGGAATACAACCAAATTGGACTTGAAGAATTCCATTGTATTGAACTGGAAAATAGAACATCAAGTACTTGTAACAAATCCATCAAGCTGAGATAGAATTTTAAGCGATACTGTTTTTAAGGTTCTTTCGGTTTCAGTAGAAAATTATTAGTAAATCATATGTGATGATAGTAAGGACCTCATGCTAATACAGAAACTTTTATTTATGCTAACCTGACTTGTGTTCTTCAGTGACATAGATTGATGTTTGGGTACATATACCCTCATGCTTCTGTAACTTCCTGCACATGTTGCTATGGTAGGCATGAATCTGCGAAGAAGAGTCAAAGTCTGAAATTAGCAAGAAGAATTACATCTCAGGTTGTTGCTGTGGATGAAGATATGAACTTACGCCACAACAGAAAGTGGTGGTTTTGGTTGTTTAACTCCGCAATTTTGACGATATCCCTATGATCAACAAGATCAAGTAAGATTATATAAGTTTTCAGGGAAGAATTTTTAAGACAGTGTCATCTAAAATACTTTAAGATAGTAATTGATATCACCAAAACTTGGAATGCAACTTTGAGAAGTCATAATAATGATATCTCATATGCCAAATATATTAGGGAATCAAAGATAAAACCAGATGGCTTCTAAATGTATTTTATCCTGTACTGAATTTTTCAAAGAGAAAGAGCATAAGGCTGAACCTGATCCCATATGTGGTATTTTGAACCCATGAAGTTTGCCATCACTGTTCCAAGAAAACTATCATCTGAATTGGACAAAAGTCCTTTCACATTCTGAGCTATGGTGAACTGAGACCTCCCATTTCGCCTCTTGTGGTAAGCCACAGCCAGTTTCCTATTCTGTCGTCCCTTACCTTCCTAGAATGTTAACATGCCCTGAAGTCAAGGTTGAAGGTATATATATACAAGGCACTGAATGTAACAACAAAAAATTCCATGTATAGCCTTGGAACACTCATAATAGTCTTGCCATTGCTGACTCAAATGTAGGAAATAATCATGATTTGACATGTACCAAGTCAAGGGATCCTAAGATCAGCCACTGTACCAAGTACCAACATTCTCATCTGATAAGTTTTTCTATGACTTTCACATTTGGCCATGCATTTTAGATTATATGAATGACAGCCCATCATGATTCTTAACTGTCTGATAAATTACGGAAATCTTACATAGGTATAAAGAGAAAACAGTATGCCCCCAGATAGTCCTTCTGGTGATGCTTCCTTTACAATAACACAGGTACATCTTCCTATATCAACAGGCAAAGGTCTGCATATCAAAGACCTGAACATAAATTCGTCAAAGAGGGATCAACTTGTAAGTAATGTTAAAATTCTCGAAGGATTAGAAATTCATCAAAACTGAGAATGAAAGTTGAGAAAATCAACGAATCTGAGGCCAAAGTTGGATTTTTTTCCCCCCAAGAGAGTTTTTACTCACTTGTTTGGCAGAGTGGACCACGATGAAGCTGGAGCCGCCTCAGAATCAGAGAAGTCCCAAACATTCAGAGACCTCGAATTCTCCGAATCAAAACGATCCCATATCTTAGACCCAAAAGCCTTTTCAGAATCACTTACTTGCATGCAGAACTGAAGCGAAGTAGGCTTCAAGATCCTATCAGCGGACAAAGACTTAGAATTGGAGTACGTTTTGGGCTCTGCGTTCTCCTTGTCATCACCAGAAGAAACTACAATTTCTTTCTTGTTAGGCATCGTATTCTCTTTGTTATCTGTCAAGATTTTGGTGCCTCTGTGATCGAAATCTTCGAAGTCGTCACCTTTAGCAGCTAAACGGCCATGATCGCAGCTGCAACTACGGCTGAGTCTGAGCTCAGTGAGAGGATTGACATAGAGAGAACTGTATGACTGGCCCGATATGGAGGATTTTTTGCAACCATCCATAATCAGGTTGCCAAAGAAATGATTCAAATGATCAAGCTTTATGGGATTCAGTATCTGAGAAGAGTTGACATTGCAGGTATTCAAACTTCTGAAGCAGAGTCTGGGTAGATTCAATGAAGGCTTAAACGTTGCCGGGAGATTTGCTTTTCACCTGACAAAAGAATATGCGAATGGGGGAATGATTTAATAACGGCTGCGCATATATATTATATGTAGACTTATGCAGACGATCGGTAGGTGGGACCCTCTGAAATTTGAATATGAAGGACGAAGGTGTGAGTGAGTGATTGTGACACTGTGAAATGAAGAGTTTAAATTTGGAAAAGCTTTGGGAAGCGAACTTGTATGGGACGGTGGTGGTGGAATTTTGCACCTTGTATTTGATTTCGGTGGAACTAACGGTAACTATTGAGCAGCATCAACCGAGAAAACGCCACATAGTTTTCAAACCTTTGTCTTTTTGTGGAAAGTCTGAGCGCCAAACTCGTCTGAATCAATCCCGTCTCTCAACAGGAACCATCAGATGGATCCATTGGTCTACCACGCGCCACGTCACCTCCCATCCCTAGTTATTGACTTGTCAGCATCCATGTCATCAGACATGTCATTCAGGAGTCCAAGTCAGTTCACAGCGGTGCAGCTACTTTGAATTCTTAAATAGACCCAATACTTCACATTATTTATAATCTATGAATAAAAATATAAGGCGTTAAATATAAATTAATTTTAACATTAATAATAATAGAAAGGGAAAGAAAACAAAAAATTAAATAAGTATTTTATTATAAAAATAATAATACATAAAATGTTATTTGATATATTTTGAATAGTTTTATTGGATGTACATATAATACATCTGAGAATTTCTCATCAAGCAAGTGCCGAGATCACCATAAGGTAATGACCAATCAGTTGACAGGAGCATTTCGAGCATCTGATCAAAAATCTCATTTGAATTAGTTTTACTATCTCATCCAATTTTTTATTTCATTCGTGTTTTGCTATTATTCGAGGAATAATTCCTCATAATTAATTAATCCTAAGATTCTATGTAAAGCTATTTACCGTAAAAAAAAAAATTAAGTGTTCAATTTAAAAATTGTAAAGCATAAAGGTCTTAAAAAGAGACATGAAAACTATCGCTTGTTTCTACAGTGATAAGGGACAAGGTGAGCATAAAATGACATATATGTATATATGTATTCATTTTTTAATTATTTTCCTTTTGAAGTTATAATTATAAATATATTAATAAAATATATAATTTATAAAATAAAATACATAATTTATATATGTATATTTTTTAAAAAAAGATGATTCACATATACCATTTTTTAATAAACAATAAAAAGACCAGTTCCAATTATTAGTTCACCAATTCAAACGAATTTAAATAAATTGATTATTAACATGAATTATTGATTCAAACCCAAAATTACTCACCTGTATGGGGATATCAGAAGTTAACAAGACTTGAAGAAATAGAATAGATAGATAGATTATAGTTAGATATCGAGTGCAGAAGTTGTTTTATTTACCACTGTTCATTACAATCGTGAAAATATATTCTATAGTGGGAGCAAAATAAATAGGAAAAATTCTTTCTCTCTCTATATATATAAAGAGAGAAATGCTTCTCATATGTTAACTAAATGAAATATGAAAATATGTTAGTACAAAGAAAACAAAATAATTAGAAAAAATTTCTCTAGATCTAAATAAAGGGAGAGAACTAAAGAAAAGTATTATTCCAAATGAAGAGATTACTTGACATGAAGTATCTCACACAAAGCCAAGCAACTTTACTAATGAATTATGAATATAAGTTAAAACGAAAGAACTTTAAATGTAAAGAAAGAAATGCTCTCATTCGTTGGCTAAATAAATTATGAAAATATATCTGGCAATAAAACACAAAATGATTAAAAAGAACTTTAGATATAGAAAACTTAAAGGAAAAAAAAAAGTGTCTTTACAAAAGAGATTACATCACATACCATTTGACATTAGGTCAATCAGCTTTCTTGATAAAGAGATAAAAAAATGCTCCTGTCATTCCCTTGTACAAATATATTATCACTCTTACCCCTTCCATCAAAGTAACGTTCCTAACATTATACACCAGTTATTTAAAATCTCTATTACTATTCATACAAGATGCATTCTCTTAACAGCATTTTCTTTTTTTTTTTTTGGATAAAAAACCCAAAAAAAAAGAGCTAACAATAAGAGTCTAAGCTACTCTGTGTCCCTGTAGAACAAACTAGCAACATCAAAACGAAAAAAGGACGAGCTCATGAACATAAGAGTATTCTCATTCGATCTCATCCTCCAGCACCTTTGCATGTTCTTGTTCACAGAACATAGTCAAATAAATAACCATCAGATTTTCAGGAGAAAAAAAAAACAACAAAACTGTATATTGTATCAATTATGTACGACGACTTGAGTGTTTTTCTTCACATGCCACTATTACCTCCACCTTTACCTTGGCTTTTCTGGTCATCAAGAGAAGATTTTGGAGCTGCCATTTCATTCTTTGGACTCTCTTGGCCAAATTCTGGGTTTGGCTTACCAGCATTGTCTTTCTCAACAGCTTTATCTGGTGGTAAAGCAATATTATTGTCGCTTGTTGTAGAAGAAGAAGACTTCTTATGTTTTATCTCATCTTCTTTCAAATGATCTACAGGGAGGCCACTGCTTGGTTGTTTCTTTGTTTCAGCCACAATCTCCTTCACTGCCTCCTCAAGTTTGTCAAGTCTCACTTTCACCTCCAGAAACCGTGGATCAGGGGGTTCTAACTTCTCTAACTCTTCTCTTTCTTTTGCTTCCTGTTCATCCCTTAGCTTCCTTTTCTGCTCCACTTCCTAAGAAATGATTTGGAGGATAATGCATTGTTAAAAGGGAAGTCCAACAAAATGACATGCATGAATTGTTATGCCTCTGATTGTTTCCAGGTATATACAAGGTCAAATTGACAAAAAAATTGGATCATGCTCCACTACTAGATCTTATTAGTGCTGATTACTATCAAGGAATGGACCAAACAAATAATAACTAGCACAAGATGATTTTCAAGACTCACGTTAAATATGCAACATGCTGAATCCGCATTGCTTATACAGTGAAAGCACTAACAGTTGCATGATGCATGACAAATCTATGACATTATCTCTATGAGACCAATATCTAGCAGGGGAGTTAAAACTGCATCACAATTCTATCTTAAGCCTTGTTATCAGATCATATGGCAATTTTCATCTCAAAGGTTTCCAAATTGAAATCCCTGGAATGGCAAGTGCAAAGCACATTAAGATGATAGATATCCTATCATTATGTTACCAACGGATATCCCCAGTAATTATATGATGTTCAGAACTTCATGTCAATTAGATATCATTAATGCAAAGGAAAGAATACATACCGCCTCCATTATTTTCATATCATAACGAGCATATTGAGCCACCAAATATACAGCTGTTGCAAGAAAGTACTTGTTTCAGACAGTAGAACTAGAAGTTAGAAAAATGTCATGAAAGTGAATATAAGTTGAACGTGTCAGCTTCAGACCTAAAGAAGGCAAGCAGGCAAAGAAAAGTTGCACAAGATGGAAATCAAGCCTGACCATGAAAGAGATCAATAATGTGAGAATAAATTCATATATTATTAACAGGCAGATGTTGATGGGGATGCAAGCAGCAGCATACCATATAATTTCCAACAATTTACGATTGTCGATGAACTTTTATCTTGAGAGCTCAAACTAATGATTGAAACCCCATACGATTATAATATCAAATATATTAGTCACTCAAAAGCTCATCAACTTTATTTTGATTAGAAGAATGAAAGTTGTCAAGGATTGATCTCTTACTTGTTGATGACAAGGAATTTGATACATGCCAAGCAAAGTTTCAACTCAAGCAATGGAAGTAAAGAATCATAAATAGTTTTTTTTATTCGTTTTATTTCCATATCATTTAACGAATAAGAAAAAAACCCAAGCATTCTAAAGAATAAACCCTTGCACACAATGTAGATGCCTTTGTAACAGATACAATGAGATCAGACCAATAATCATTATCAGTGGCAAATAGAAAATTTCCCATTCAAACACTAAACAGACTTTTCAGTGTACTGAGACTTGTACGTGCTAATAAAGATATAGATGCATATAGAGCTATTACAACGGAGGTAGTGAGGAATTGTAAGTAAATTTCAGTTCCTATTTCCAAAAAAGGTACGAAGCAACACCTACATGAAGCTGTTCGATGAAATGCCAAAGAGAGCAGAGTTAAGAGAACAAAGAAGCCGAATCCAGAGACAGAAAATAGCCATGATACTCACATATAAAAATACACAAGGAAAAAATTTCCTAGGAAGCATATGAACCAACATTGAAATGAAGCTGCTCGGCAAAATGCCAGAGAAAGCAAAGCCAAAAGAAAATCCAAAAATAATCACAACTGAGTGACCCACAAACTTGCCATGAGAGTCATAAATGAAATCAAAGTAATCAAATGACGTAAAAAAAAAAAGGAACTTGGAAACAAAGACAATACCCAAATTTCTTTTTCTTTGGAGGGTCGGTAAAAAGGATCTTTGCCGCAGTCATGAAGTCAAGATTCTCCAGCTGCCGATACCTTTCATCGCGGATGATCTTGTCGTTCTTCGTGGAATTGCCGGAAGAGTTTTTAGCGTTTTCAGAAAATGATGCAGTTCGAAGAAGCTTGAACGGCCCTGACAATGGGGCCCAGCTTCCTCGAACACGAAACATAGCTCCTACTTCCTTCCTCAACATCGACAATGTTAATCCCTGTATCATGCAATCCCTGTATCAAAGCTCGACAAATCAGCCCTCATACTTTCCACTTCACAATATTGAAGATTCTGCCCGTCAAAGTGTAGAAGCTGCTGAACCCGGTCTTATCAATCCCAAATGCAAGAACACGTTGTGCCGCAACTTCGCGCTTCTTCGGACGTTTAAACGTTCCGTCGGACGGTGGAGGACTCAAATGGCGAACAACGGAGAAGAACGCCGCACTCAGGTGAAGGAAGGGGATCCGTGAAAGGTAACAGGTAGAGTTGAGATCAACGGCCAAAATTCATTCATCAATGAAGGCTCAGGATGCGTTTAAGAAATCTAGTGATGATTAATGGTTGATGATACGGTAATAACATTTCGAGATAGTGAAATGAAATCTAGAGCGGGAAACAGGCTCCGCCAGTGGCAGGTCGGGTTTAAAAGTTAAACTTTAACTTGTGGCTCGCGGCGGATTAGCCCCTCGCCTCTAGGTTGGCCTTTGTTTTTCAATTTTTTTTAATTTTAATGAAAAAATGTTACTATTTTATTTTTATTTTTCGTATGGCTTTTGTTTTGTGTTGGAAACATGATTTCATGTTTTATTTCTCATTTTTTATTGATTATCATTTTGTATGTTAATAGAATAATTATGTAAAATGGATTATATGCTTATATTTACAAGTTGAGGTTATTTAATCATGTAACTTCATGGAAATATAAAACAACTTAAATTTAGTCTATAAAACTTTTAATTAAATTTGAAAAGCAAAAAAAATCATTTGAAAATGTTTAAAAGAAAGAATAAAGTGGATTGATAGGTCAGCAATTTTTCCAACCCACCAAGTGTGCTCTAATTTTAGGCTCTAATATAATCTGACCCATATTAGCACCTCTAAAAAACTTCATCTGATAGCCTGAATGACAAAATTAGAAATAGCACAATTTTCAATCAAATTATAAATGTTTTTCCCATGTTATACTTTAAAGAATTAAAGTACAAAATATTCATAAAGTATTATGTGAAGAGTTATTAGCATTTGTAATTTAAGTATAGTGCAATTTTACCAATCAATCCTTAAAAAATGGTATAAAAGTTCTCAATCCATAATGGAGACCAGAAATCCAATAAGTAAAAGTTATGGGTTTTACATGTTATACCACATGCAAATAGTTAGGAGCAAAAATTTTCATTAAATACGGTTTTGTCTGTCAATCTTAAAACACTGTGAAAATCTCCTGGGATAACAAAGGTGTACATTAGTAAATGTTGGCCATGAATACAAGAAATGTTGATATTTTATTTAATCCAAACTACAATCATGAAAATATAAGTGTTTAAATTTATCCTAACTCACACATGTTAACCCTAAGATGAGAAAAAATTCAGTAAAGCGTAAAGCAAGCTTGCAAAGAATTGCAAAGCAACGAAACTTCAACAATCCGAGAGCTGTCAATGAAAGTGCAGAGCAAGCAGCAAAATTTGAAGTTTCAACAAAAGTGCAAAGCAGGCAAAAGCTTGTAGAATGGTGAAGCAAAAAATGAAGAACGAAGAAGAGAGGAGCAAAAATCATGCATGGCTGATCTTGTGTTTTCTTCTTCATTAAACATGATTGGGCAATGGTCATCAAACATTATGGGGCCGTTTGGTTCAATTGGTTGAGTGAGGATGATTTGTAATTCTAATGCATTTTAATGATTGTTGGCGTTTGGTTGCACCTCCGTGATGGAAAAGAAAATACATGATAGTTGTTAGTATCCTAATTACATGATCAGATCCTGTGAATGAGGATGTAGACCTCTTGCAATTGCTATGAAAATACATTTTTGCCCTTAAAATGCCAAACCAATATGTCAACCCTTCCTCCATCTTCACTACCCACTCTCCTCCTTCGACAATGACATCGAAGACTCCGTTCACCACCTTCTGCAGCAACATTGGGCCTTGAAGATATCCGCAATTGGCATCGTTGTGCTCTGTCATCCAGGGGAAGAGCCATAAATTTTTATCAGGGGATTGAGATGACAAAACATATACTATAATGAAGCTTTGCTGGGGCATCCTTACTAAAACAAACTGTCTTTGGGTTCGAGTTCTAAGGGATAAATATAAATGCAACCTACTGACTGTCCCTATGGTTGTCAGACCTAATTCCTGCTCCTACACCTGGAGTAGCATTTGTAAAATTTGGGGCAAATTTATGTCTCTAGTTGGTTAGAAGATTGGTAAAGGTAACAAAATATCCTTTTGGTATGATAGATGGACTTCCCTGCCTGATCCTCTTGTCTATCATGCCTCTCAAAACGCCGACTCTATTCTTCATACAAGAGTTTCAGATTTCTACAAGCCCAATGGAGGGTGGAATTTAGATCTTTTAAAAAGATACCTCCGCCCAAATATTATTAAACATATCGCTCTTGTTCAACCTCCTAAGACTCAGGGTGACGATGACATTCTTATTTGGAGACCCTCCTCAGATGGAAACTTTTCTATAAAATCCGCTTAAAAACTATAGAAAACCATCAGGCTCAGGATTCCAATGATATTTGGTCTAAAATCTGGAATTGTCCTACTTATGAAAAGATTAAGTATTTCCTTTGGAAAGCAGCATGGGATCGCTTACAAATAAATGTTATGCTCGCTAATGGAAATACTTTACAGCATAGCACCTGCCGATGGGGTTGTAACTCTCCTGAATCTTCTATTCATATCTTACGAGATTGTAAAGAAGCTAAAAAGGTTTGGAAAAAATTAGTTAGCCCTTCCAAATATAATAACTTTTTTTCTCTTCCTGTGCAGGACTGGATAATTTAGGAATGCTAACAGCGAAGCAGGAAGCAGTTATACTAGAGGGTTGTCTTGGAAGAAACTCTTTGCTCAAGCCTGTTGGAACATTTGGAAAGCAAGATGCAAGGAAATTTTTGCTGAAAATGATATTGTGGACAAAGACATTGCCTTTTCTAGCACCCAACAAATTATAATTGACATGCAGCTCCAGTCCAAGTATGTTCATTCACACATCTTAGATACCAGACATGAAGCAAGTTGGAAGCCTCCAAAGCCTAGATGGATGAGACTTGATGTTGATGGATCAGTCAAACAAAATGGTGCAGCAGCCTGTGGAGGGCTTATAAGAGATGACAAGGGTAACTGGATCAAAGGCTTCACTAAAAACCTTGGTTACCAACATATCACAGCTGTTGAGCTTATCGGGATTCTATAAGGCCTAACCATCTGCTGGAATGCTAAAATTCCTAAACTTAATGTTCACGTCGACTCAATGGAGGCCATATCCCTCATTAATGGCAATCTAGATCAGGGTCATCGCTCTTAACTATCATAAAAAGCATCAGAAATCTCATAATGAGGAACTGGAAGGTCACTCTGGATCACGTCTATAGAGAAGCAAATCGTTGTGCTGATCTCCTAGCTCATAAGGCCTCTAGCGACCATTTCGACACTACGATTCTCAATGACGTTCCTAATGATTGTAGAAGTTTTTTGTCTTTTGACATGACCTGATTTAGTCCTTTTGCACGATTTTCTTTTACCGTGGCCTTGTATTAAAAAAAATAATGGAAGAATAATTATATATAAAAATATATATATATATATATATTTGTAAAATTGAAATATTTATATTATATAAGATATATATATCTCATATAATATAAATATTTCAACGTATGTATTTATGTTGAATTTTACAAATGTATAAATATATATATATATATATATATTTTATAAGTTTTGTTCATCAATTTTTCATAACATAAAAATTATTAATTATTATGTTTACAATAAACTTTTTAGCAATTTTTTTCAATATAAACTATTATTAAATTAGTGAAAATTATTTAATCTTCCCATGAGCATTGAATGATGAAAATGTATCATTGGGATCTAATTCTATTGTTTAATTTAAGAAGTTTTGTTATTTGCTAACTGAAAATTGTGATGAATAAATATATCAATATGGTAATTATGCTTAATTGTCATGAAATCTTTATATCAATTATATCTTTTTGTTGCAATACTTAAAAAATTTGTTAGTAATAATTTTTATAATTTCCTAATCAAATGTAAAATGAAAGAAAAATTAAATGACATTAATATTTTAAGAGTATGTGTAGCATCATCTTGCTGAAAAATAAGTAAATCATATTATAATTATATCTTCAAGCTATTAAAACAATTACAGTATACATGCATAAAAGATTACATATAAAATTAAAATGAAAATTTTATATAATGTTTCAAGCCTTCTATAATGTGTCAACTTAGAGGCTAAAAATATATAATGTAAAGTCTTTTTCACTATTACCCAATTAACTCTAAATCTCAAGTAATTAAAAGATTTTCACAAAGTAAGAATGACAAATTTATCAAAGTATACAATGGGATAAACAAATTTTAACAATTTACAAATGGGATCCCGATATTTTAATATTTAAAATACTCTGATACACTTTTGATATATTCAAATCAAAGTTTAAAATAGATGCGAAAGTCTAGGAATTGAAGAAAAAATCAAAACACTTGTATAAAAATTCAAAACAGTGAACTGTGCAAAAAACTACACATATGATGCAGCTCGACACTCTTGCACCGTGGCATGCATGTCTTTATGCCATGCTCTGCGATACATTGCATGAGTTTAACAGCACAGGGGATGAACTTTCAACGCATTCCAAATCTTCATCCAACACCCGATTGAGGTGATCTAGGTGTCTACAGAAAGTTTTCTCCTAAATCTAACTAATGACACATATTTCATAACTAAATTATTTTTCTATCAAAAGTTAGACACCTAACACCAATTTCACTACTTTTCACAAATACACACAATAAGGGTGCCCAAAGCTCTGATATATGTGACAAAAGCCTATACCAACCTTCAAACCACACTCAATGGACCATTTAAAACTTGTGCAACACACTACAACCATTCCAAAGCATATATATTATAAGTTCAACCCTCAATCCCTTAATTCACAAAGACACAAAAAGGGGAGATAATTTGCATAAATAATCAATATTCATCCAAAACATATGTTTCTCTACTTATACTAGTATTTTGGTCCTATACAAGTTTTACAACCACATTTCACTAACTTAGGGTACAGAATACTCAAGATTTTCACAACGATAATATAAGTAGTTCAAAACAATGGTATGAGTCCTAGATGAAAAATTAACCATCAAAATACACACAAATAAAACTAAGAGGCCTACAAATAGGATTTATTTAGAATCCTATGCCTCGTCATTTTTCCTGGTCTTAATCTGGTGAGCTAAGACTTGACAATATTGAAGAATGAGGGATGAGTATAATCACTCAGTAACCAAAGTCAATCTAACCTATACAGTTACATATAAATTAAAAATGGATGTAAATGACAATAAACTCATAATGCTTGTATATATAACAAGTATATTATTGGCCATAATAATAACAACCAGGTGATCGGGCATGCAACACATATCATTTGATTTATCACAAATATATACATCTTGGGATTGCAAAAATAACAACCATACGTTCTTAAAACACATCGTACCACAATAATAACAACCATATGACCAGAATTAAATGCATAATCAATGTCATCCTTATACCCTCATGTTACCTTTAATATGAAACCGATGGCTATCAATAAATACGTCTGTAAATTGAACTAACCTAACCTTTTACTTGTGACGAGCTACCGGGTTAGGGTTAACTCACTCACTTGTGTACCACACTTTTTCCCAATATTAACAATCATATGATGTCATATCCCTAATTTAGCCTCCTCATAAACTAGTAGAGACTAGTTAAGTTCGAGTCCTCTAAAAAACAAGTGAGACAGTTCCAAATCAATCATGGGACAATGGCTACCTCTTGATTCTAATGGTCTGTGCCAAGGCAAGCTTTTGATTCCAACAATGAGCCACCAATACCACATGGATTTACCAATCTACTTCTTCTTAGGCAAACTCCATCCAATAATTATGCTATGCACATAATAACAAGTTGGATGCCATTTAATACACATTAATCCCATCATATCATGTTTATAAAATTCTTCCTCTACCATACTCCATATACCATTAAACACATAATAACATAATCTCGATCATCATCATTATTCACACATGTATAAACATGCACTTTGCTTTCAACAATTCATTACAACTTCAAAATGCCAAATTTGCATCAATGACTATTCAAAATGTCAAACATATTTCAAACCAACAATTTCAATAAATAATTAATTAATATACAACTATACAAACTAGATTTTCTCTAGTTACCATAAACCTTTGATAGTCAAAAGTTTATTTTTCAAAATAACCACTTCCAAAGTTTCTTATCAAGCTTGAATAGTCCCAATACTAATAGTTTACAATGAAATCACAAGGATATTCATTATTACCCCATATTTGAGCAATTTCCAACATTTTAACTTCATATTCTCCCTTCATCAAAATCACAAATCCACTCTTAAACATACCCATTGGGTTTACTAGATTCCAACAACTTACATTATCATTAAAGAACCATTAAACCACTATTAATGATCATCAAACACTTTCAACAACTTTATTTATTGCTATTTTTGAGTATTAATGGTCCTCAATAATCATGAACTCTCAAAATCATTAATGTTAGATTTAAATACTCTAAATAACTCCTATTATATTTATTTTAGTCAACGGGTTCAGACTTATAGTTCATATGGATTGAAAATTACTCTCCCAACTCAAACCCTAACTTTAACCTTCACGAAAATGAAAGGAAAGGGAAGAGGAAGACATCATGTACCTATCTTGTGAGTTAAGAGCTCTAAGATGTCTCCAATAGTCCCCAAATCCGTGCTCTAGCAAAGCAAAGCTCGTGCCTTTTATTTTCTTCTTTTTCTCTCCTCTAGTTTTTTCGCATAGATACAAGCTAGTTTAACCATAATTTTGGCCATACGCCACGGTGCATGGTATAGAGAAACCCAACTTATGCTGGTTGCCTTTGTGCGCTGCGGCAAACACTCCTCATGTTGCGGCATGTGGCAGAAGACCCTTCTTCAATTCTTTTCCTCTTTTAATGCTCGAATGGCCTGACTTCACTTTAGATCCGCATTTAAGGCTGAAATCGTAATCATAAAAAGATCAAATATTTGTTAAAATAATAACTTCATTTATTAATTTGTTAATGTTTACTTATTATCAATTTTTTTTAAAAAAATTATGCTTCTTCCAAAGTCTTTTATGGATATTTAAAAAAAAGGCAACAGTTTCTTAAATTTGTTTGAAATCCCAATTTCAATCGATAGAAGGTGAAAAAGATGAAAAGAATAGTCATAATATATTTTATTCTATCAACTAGCACTAGTCTTACTCTCATGCACAAGATATTATATTTAAATGTATATGAATATGAACAACATTTTTATGAGAAGTACTCCCAATTCAACTTCATTGATTAAAAAACTTTATTTGACCAGTAATTTACTTGGTTACACTGTAATTTTTAATTCCAATTCCAATATATATGAACTTCAAGCCTTTCAAGTATGCCCCCTCTTTTTCTTTTCATTTTCTATTATTTGTGGTGTCCTTTACAAAATTTTGTTGTGTCGCTTACACATTTCCAGCATCAATCCCCAGTTTTCTCAAATTAAAACGGGAATATTAAAAATTAATAAGAGACGAATATTGAATAAATATTAAATTTCCAACATTATTCTCTTATTAATTTTTAATATTATATTCTACACCTAGGTAATGAGCCATGACCTAAGCTTATCCAATGTCCCAAATTTTACTCAAGTGGGTTCTAAAACATCCAACGTTCTCCCAATTAAACCTCACCGGTGATTTTGTCCCAAAAAAAAAAAAAATCCCTCACCTGTGATTAGTTAATCTTCAAGTCATGCTTTAAAATTGTTGGAATGTCACAAGTGGGTCTCTTACATGATTCGAATCGCGGTTAACTTTTTTTGACATACAAAAGCAAGCAAAAACTTGAAGAAAACCAAGTTGGAAATTGCGACACACTTCTTTCGGTCTAGGCATGTTTTAAAAGATTTTATTGGTCTAATTTATAAATTATGATATGTCTTTTTAAGTAATATTTAAAAAATATTTTTATAATTATCTTTTATAAGAGAAAAAAAGTAATATGATATCACTTTTTAGATTTGTTATATAAGAACATGTTTAAAATTTTATATACTTTTTTTTTTTTTTGCATTAGTATTAATGAGGTTGATAGAAATGATTTATATATAAAAAAAAACAGACGAGTAGTTAGTAATGAATGGCAATTAACTAGATAGAGCATGTATGAATGTTGAAACTAGTTTACTGGTTGAATTATCTGGAGCTTTGAGACCATTATACAAGCTTGGAAACGAGGATATAGAGAGATTATTCTTGAATGGAATAGTAAAACTTTGATCTAGTTGAAATGGTAAGATATTTAGGGCATGAATAAGTTGTTGAGAGAGAGTTTAAACTATACATATTTGGGATACGTTAGGAAAAAAAAGCTATTTGTAATAACTTATAAAAAAAGGGATAATAATAATAAAGTCCCAAACTAAAGAATTTATGACAATTAAGTTTCAACAATTTTTTTAAAAATAAATTATAAATATTAATTTAAATAATTGCAAGTAAGAATTATAGTTATAAATTAAGAGTGATAGTTAGAATTTAAATATTTTAGGGAAAACACCCAAAGTTATATTTTTTTAATATTTTATTTATAATTAAAAATTCTAAATTTATAAGTTTTGAATCAATATTCACAATTTATTTAAAATTTTTTTGTTGAAGATCTAATTATCGTAAATCCATTATTTTGAAAAAAAAAAGGTAAGAATGAATTTTTTTTTTTTACCTAACAAAACGTTCATGCTTAATGTTATTCAACAACTCAAGTGTTAAACTTGATCAAAATCATTTTTTCCCTTTAATTTGAAACAAATTGTCTCTTAATCTTGTTAATTCGATTGGAAATCTTTTGGGTCGTCATTGGAGTGTTGAAGTCAAACATACTTATAGAAGGTAATCATAGTGCTTATTTTTTTGTTACATGTTCTGTTTCACTATCCCTATGTCAACATGTTTTGAAGAACTATTTTGTCCTTTAGAAACCACTCTGAATTATGATGTTTATGGGGTCTCATCTATACATTGTATCGGCCATTAAAACTTGTTTGTTATTATTTTGACATAAAAAAATAATGTGTGTGTGTATCTTAAAATTAAAGAAGGACTTGATGGTAATTATTGCAAAAACTATTAAGAGAATACCAACATTGTACACCCACAAAATCTGAAAAAGAAATATTAGACCCATACATCATTAGCAGAATAAAACTTTATTATCCGAATTTTATACTCCGATTAATAAAAAACCCTAATTTGATTCTGTGATCTAAAAAAAGTTGATTAATCCCATTGCCATGGCTGGACCACACAACCCTGTAGCTCACAGAATCATCATCATTCATCATTCATGGCCTTCCCTTCCCTTTAAAACTAAAACTTCACTAATTAGAGTTCATAATACAATCCGAAGCCCCACCTACACCCATAATTATTAGCCAACGTTGCTTTCTTTGTTTCAAGGCAAAAAAAATCCTTTTTTTTTTTTTTTAAATCAGAGACTTGTTCTGTTGTTCATCATATAATCTCCACCACCACCATCACCCATAACAGAGTCGGTGCGCGACGGTCTGTTTGCCGCCGGCGGAATCTAGTATCAGAAGCTTCTCATTTTCTTCTATTGCTTTCTGAGACTAAAGGAAAATGTTTCGCCGACTCTTATGGCGAAAATATTTACCGATTAAGGATTAGTACATTAATTGCAATTGGCTCTGCAATGAAGTGGATGTAGCTATCTGAAGAAACGACGTTGCAGAATGCTGTGCAGGAAGGGTCTCCGGAACTGCGAATCAGGATCGGTGCCGGTGTACCTCAATGTGTACGATCTGACGCCGATCAACGGCTACGCTTACTGGTTCGGCCTTGGAGTCTACCATTCCGGCGTTCAAGGTTCGTCTTCCTCCCCAAATTCTCTCTTCCTCTGGTTCTTGGACCTGCAGAACTCAGTTCACAAGATTACAAATCTTGACACTTCATAACAATCTGAAATTCAATTATTCTAATAATTGGTACTCTGTGAGAGAATAGCCCAAAGAAAATTCAGATTCTATCAGATTGCAAATGAACATTTTATATATAAGAAATTTGAATCAATATCTCAGCGAAGTGCTGGATTTTGGTGTTCAGTTCATGGTGTGGAGTACGCATTTGGAGCTCACGAGTACTCGTCGACGGGGATATTCGAAGGAGAACCAAGACGGTGCGAGGGTTTCGCGTTTCGGACGACGATACTGATCGGAAAGACGGAGAAGGGAGAGGAAGCGGTAAGGAGTGTGATGGAAGAGCTCGCCGGAGAGTACAGAGGGAATGCGTACAATCTCATCACCAAGAATTGCAACCATTTCTGCAACGATGCTTGCCTGAAACTCACCGGCAAACCTATTCCCAGTTGGATCAATCGACTTGCCAAAATCGGTAACTTAAGATATTAATAAATCGCTTCTATACCTAATGATTTCATTGGATTCTTCGCCATTACAGATCTAAGTTTGAGCTTCTAAAGTTGAAATTCATAAAATTCAATACAAACTACTGGTTACAAAAATAATGGACTCAAAATTACTATTCAGTCTTAAACTTGGGTGACACACTATAATTCAATAAATTTCAATGAATCAGTTATACCAATCAAATTTAGAGATTAAATTAATAATTAGGGAAAAAAATTAGAAACTGCTTATGGTCTTGTCTCGTAGTTTAATGACAAATAAACTCTCATATAAGCATGAGGTCGCTGATTCAATTCCATGTAACTTTAAATAGTTAGTACCAAACCTTTTAATAAAAAAAATTAGAATCTACAAATTATATTATTCGTTTAAAAAATAATAATAAATTATATTATGCTGCTGAATTCTTGCACAAGTTTTAGCTTAATTTTTTTTTTTGGGTTGAAGAATATGATTGCTTTTGTTTAAAGCTTAATTATTTCATAATAAGGATGATTATTATTTAGCTAAGAAGTTGGGACTAGTTTTTATATTACTTGTTCCAAAATGCAGTTAAAATAAACTTTTTACTAGGATGGGTTTTATTTCGTAGATATTTTTTTCAGTAAAGATTTGAGGGAAATAGAAATTAATTAATTTTTTTCTAAAAATAAATAATTGATTCGGGATAATACTTCCTTAATTTTAAATTATAAAGTACTTTTGAATGAATCTCTCCCTCCTAAAATATATTGGGTAGATTAATATTTTATTAAATGTATCAATTTTAATATTATCTTTTTTTATCTAAAATTAATTGAAAATTTATATTTTTATTTTGAAAAGATAAGATTATTAAGTGTTTTAATAAAATTTATTAATATATAAGATTTTATTTAAAAATATTTTATAATTTAAAATGAGAGAGTATAATTTTATCTTGAAAGTTTGCACTGATTGCATGGAAGTTGCAAAGTAGAAAAAGAGAAAACAGAGGGAGAATAAAAGAAATTATGGAAGACAATTAAGCAATGGGAATAACAAAAAAAATTTTGTTTTTCCCTGAAAATAGATGGGACTTTCTTTCTTTTTTTTCTTTTTTCTTTTTTTATTTTTTTAATTTCCTTTCCATGCAAATAGCAGCGTCAAAAAGATTCTTTGGACAATAATTGGTGTTTAAGAAAGGTGAACCCTTTTGCTATCCTTAGAGAAAAGGATGGAAAAGACAAGCAACTTTATTCTTTTTCCTAGAGAGCATTATACCAAACCAATTTCAATCAAACATATATATGAAATGATTCTATTATGATATATGCCGAGTGCAAAAAGATGTACAGAATAATTAAATTATAAATAAACAATAAATATTTTAAACATCTATCATATATGTATGCTTTTTATACCTGATTGAATCTAATTTAAAAAAAATATCCATTACAGCAAATGAGTTTTCTACATGATCAATTAATTAATATAAAATGGTTTGATAATATTAGAATCATTGTTTCAAAGATGAGCTGTTTAAATTATATTCAGAAGTCATCAAATCAAAAAAAAAAAAAAGAAATCAGACTGAATTGATTGGTAAGGCTTGTTTCAGGGTTCTTGTGCAAGTGTGTTCTTCCAGTGGCTATAAACTCAACCAGAGTTAGGCATCACAGAATTGAAGACAAACACTGTGAAGAGAAGCAAGAAGCAGCATCATCATCATCATCAACCAGTGTCCCTCTAAAAACATCCGATAAAATTATAACCATACAGATGCAGAGATCATCATCAACAAGTGAGACAAATAACAACAACAAGGTGGCACTTTCAAATTCAACATCTTCTCCACCATCACCTTCCCTGGCTTCTTCTACCTCCTCTGCAATAACCAGACCTGACCTTCCTCAACCTTCTTCACCTGTGATTATTGAGCCTTCTCCATCTCCATGTCCAAACTCTGAACATTAGATTCCCCCCCCCCCTTTTGGGTTTTGATTTTCTGAAGTTGCTTTGATGAAGAGAGCAAAAGATTAGAGTTTCAAATGAAAAATGTAATTGCCATTCTTTTCATTATCCAATTCCAAATGTAAAAACTGGTATCTGAAGAAAGCTGGCAGGAGACCTGGGGCCGATAATGTGCTTGTATGTGTTCTATTATTGCCTCATCTTGTGTTGGATTTGGGTGTAAGACTGCTTTAGAATTTGTCAAAAAACTGTATTATTTCAGATTGAGATACTCAATCAAGAACAACTACTTAAGTTTGATTTGCTTCACACAGTTTTTCCTAATGGAAGATTTTGTTTCAAGCATATGTTGATTTCTAGTTATTGGAAGTAGAGCCGTATTGAGTTGTTGAATGTTGACTAAATTCTCTGGAAATAATTAGAGTTGGAAGAATTGGGGCATATTTGGATGGGAAGGTCCCATTATAAACTTTTGTCGATTAGGAATTATAAATAGAACAATGTGAGGATGAAAAAAAAAAATATTTCTAATTAATTTTCCAAAATTGGTTTAAAGTCTCCTTTTTTGTTTTTAAAATATTTTATTTAATATTGTTAAATAATTAAAGCAAGAAAGCGTCATTAATTTTCCAGTTTCTTTTCATTGGTCAAAATATAAATTCCCCTTCAGTATTTTTAATTATTTCATGATCTCATTCACTCAATGCCAAAATATACCCATATATACTCTCATCAAAAAATATATTTATAATTAATAATTAATGTATTTATAATTAAACATATAACTATATTAAAAGTAAATTTTTGAGGTAACGTCTAACATATTAATGAAGTACATCTTTAGAACTACTCGTAATATATTAATTACATCTTTTGAGACTTCACTTGTAGTTTTCCCTTAATTATAATATGGTGTTAATATTAATGATAGAATATAGTTGTGAGACACGTGTGGAAGATAATAGAGGTGGAATTAATTTATGAAGACAATAGTAATGATTTGTCCTAAGCTATAATATTTGCCATGGACAATAATGATATATATAGTTTCTAAGTAATCAATCAGAGACGACACAGAGCAAATGCTTTTGCTTGTTGCTGGGGCTATCATTTTCTGTCAAAATCTGTCTCTGTATCTAATTTTCTTTTGAGGAAAATAATGCCTATCGCCAATTGGGACAATAATGTCTATCGCCAATTGGTAATCATTTTCTTTAGGCGCTGTTTTCATTCAACACGGCTGAATGTCTGCACTTGACAAAAAGTTTGGCCTTTGGCTTTAATACTGAAAAGAAAGTCTAGCCTCTAGGTCTAATAATGAAAACCAAAAAGATGTTTTTTTAACTGTAGATTCGACTTAAGTGGTTAAATAATAGTATGAGAAAAATATGAGTATTTATTTTAAACTTAAACATAACAATAAATGTTATTTTACTATATCGGTCAACTGTATGAGTCCCATTATATTATTGTATTTATTTTTCAAAAATACAAAACTGAAACAAATAACTGAATGAGGAAGTAAAGAAAAAACAATAAAGATAGGAGACTATATCGGTCAACTGTATGAGTCCCATTATATTGTTGTATTTATTTTTCAAAAATACAAAACTGAAACAAATAACTGAACGAGGAAGTAAAGAAAAAACAATAAGTAACATACTGCATAATTCGAGTGCAGTGATAAGTGAGTCAGGACCGCTACATCGACGCTCGGATGTAGTGTTAAATGAACAAGGGCTATCGCGTTATTATGGACGAGCACAATTAAAGAAGTTAATCTATATGAGCAAGAGTAGACTTGGTACTTGGAATGTTGGGATTGTGACTGGTAAATCTATGGAGGTGGTTAGAGTTATGATTTAGAGAAAAATTAATATCTTGTGCCTGCAAGAGACTAAATGGGTTGGTGAACAAGCTAAGAATATTGAAAGTTTCAAACTTTGGTGTACTGGGAAAGTAAACACACGCAATAGGGTGGGTATCATTGTTGATAAGGAGTGGAAGAAGAACGTGGTAGAAGTTAATAGAATTGGGGACATAATTATTTTCTTAAAAATGATCATCGGACAGGAGACTATTAATATTGTTAACATTTATGCACTTTAAGTTGGAATAGAAGTCGGTTTTGAAAAATTATTTTAGGAAAACTCAAAGGGGTTGATCGAAAACATACCACACATAATGAAAAGATCTTTATTGGAGGAGACTTTAATAGACATGTCAGGAGGGAGGCAAGTCATTATACGAGGGTGCATGGTAGTTTGAGTTTTGGGGAACTAAATAATGAAAGACAACATATCCCTAATTTCTCTTTGGCGTATGATGTCAAGATTGCTAATACATGTTTCAAGAAGAAGAATGAGCATCTCATCACTTATAAAAGCAAAGCTTCAAGGTCACATATTGATTTCTTTTTAGTAAAGAACACAAATAGAAGATTTTGTAAAAATTATAAAATGATGCTTGGGGATGCTGTGATGACACAACATAGGGTTCTTATTCTTGATGTATGTATTATGAGTAAAAACCAAAAGCATCGACAAGTAATAACTTCAAAGATTAGGTAGTGGCAATTAAAAGGTGAAAAGAGAGATATTTTCAAGAGAAGTCTCTTAGCCGAAGGAATTTGAGAGTTTAAGGAAGTGTTAATACTTTATGGGAAGACTTGGCTGTGAAGGTAAGAAAGGTTGCAAGAGAAGTTTTAGGAGAATCAAGAGGTTTTGGTCCAAGAGATAAGGAGTCTTAGTGGTAAAATAATAGCGTACAGGAAAAAAATCAAGTATAAGAAGGAGTGTTTCAAAGTTATCTATTTGTGCAATAATAATGAAAATTGGGAAAAGTATCGTATAGCTAAGAGGGAAACTAAGAGGGCCGTGAGTGAAACTCGTTTTAAAGTATTTGAAGATTTTTATAATGGTTTTGGGATAAAGGATGGGGAATATAACATTGCTAAAAGTAAGGAAAGAAAATCAAGAGATTTGGAATAAGTAAGGTATATAAAGGATGAAGAGGGAAATATTTTGGTTATACATAATGATATTAAAAACAGATGGAAGACATACTTTTCTAAGCTTTTCAATAATGATGTGGGTTCGTCAATTAGCTTGGAAGATTTAATAACTTCTGAAAGAGAGCAAAAAGTTATCATTTTGTCGAAGAATACAAGCTTGAAAAGTGAGAGAAGCTCTTAAGAAAATAACAAATGGTAGAGCCAATGGACCTAATTGTATCCCTATTGAAATGTGAAAATGTTTGGGTAAAAAAGGAGTGCAGTGGTTAACTAAGTTATTTAATGAGATCTTACAATTCAATAGAATGTCGGACGATTAAAGGAGAAGCATCTTAGTTCCTATTTATAAAAATAAAGGAAATATTCAAAATTGTGTTAACTACAGAGGGATTAAACTTATGAGTCATATTATGAAATTATAAGAAAGAGTGATGATTGATCATAGGTTGAGATTAGAAATTGAGATTTTGGAGAATCAATTTTGGCTTTATGCTAGGGAGAGCAACTGCAAAAGTGATTTATATACTAGGGGGTTGGAAAAGTATCGAGGTAAAGGCAAAGATTTACATATAATTTTTATTGATTTGGAAAAAGCTTATGATTGTGTATCAAGAGAAGTACTTTGGAAGGCTTTGAAAAAGAAAGGTGTCCGGGTTGCTTATATTCGAGCTATACAAGATATGTATGAGGGGGTAACAACTAGTGTAAGAACGCTTGGTGGTGAAACAAGATTTTCCTATAAAGATTGAATTGCATCAATGATCATTTTTAAGTCCTTATTTGTTTGATCTAGTCTTAGATGTTTTGACTGAGTATATTCAAGAGGAAATTTTTAAACGCATGCTTTTTGCAGATGATATAGTTCTTATCGCAGAGATAAAAGAAGAGATAAATTGTAAACTTGAGTTATGGAGGAAGACATTATAGTCAAAAGGTTTTCGCTTGAGTAGAAGTAAAATAGAATATTTACATTGTAATTTTGATAAAGGGTTAGTGGGTAATAACTTGAAAGTGAAATTGGGTGATTAGACCATACCTCAAGTGGAAAAGTTTATATATTTAGGAGTGATTATTCAACAAAATGGGGACATTAATGGAGATATTACATATAGGATACAGGTGGAGTGGTTTAATTGGAAAAAAACTAAAGGAGTTATTTGTGATTGTAAGGTACCTCATATGCTTAAAAGAAAGTTTTATCAAACTGCTATAAAACCAGCAATTTTGTATGGTAATGAATGTTGGGCTTTGACAGGACAGCAAGAGCATAAAGTTAGAGGAGTAAAGATGAGAATGTTGAGATGGATGTGTGGATATACACATAAAGATAAAATTTAAAATGAGTGAATATGAAAAAAAGTGAATGTGGCACCTATTGAAAAAAATGGTAAAAAATCATTTGAGGTGGTTCGGACATGTACAAAGAAGACCACGGGAGGCACATGTGAGAAGAGTGGAACAAATGACTTTGAATCTTGTCAAGAAGGGTAAAGGAAGACCGAAGAGAATACTCTTGGATGTTGTTGAGTGAGATCTTTTAATTAATAATATTCCTAAAAACTTAATAAAGAATAAAGCACAATAATATCATATAATTCATATAGCCAACCCCATCTAATGGGATAAGGCTTGTTGTTGTTGTTGTATATAAAATTAATTGTTCTAAGATAAAATAAATGAATAGTTATATTATCTATTGAGAGTGAAAGTTTATGGCTACTTTATTGTTAAACTTTGATAAACTTTATAATTCAAAAAAGTTTGAAAAAAAAAATATGAATTAATAATTTGCAAAATATAATGCTTCCAATAATTTTTGCCTTCATCTTGTTGCATGTGCTTATGGTATCCAGATTTAGTCCGCTCACTTTTAGCTTCCTATGATTGAAGTGAAGAACCAGAGACCTGCCTGCTTTCCTTACTCTAACCAACCCATGTTGCATTGGTTTACCTAAGCTTATGAAACTTTATTGGACTTACAACTTTCTAGGTAAGGAGTTGTATTAATTTACTTAAATGTATTGAATTTAAGTTTTGAAAATGCAACCACATTAAATATTTGATGAGAAAAATTTGCCTGCTTAGCTTTATAATCTTTTTCAATTTGATCTAAATTAGTTTGATTGTCGTTTAACTCTTCCAATCATAAGTGAGGCAAGTCTTGATTACAAGATAGTCCAATCCAAAAGAAATTGGCTTTTTAGGATCTCAAAATTTTAAAATGTTAATTAAAAACTTTAGTTATTTACTAAACACTTAAAAGAATTGACCAAACACCACTGTTCACATACAATATTGGGTATTGGGTTTGTCCATCATTGGTGGATTAGGCGCATTATTTGGATATTAATTTTGTCTGGGTCCTTAAGTGTAGTTTTCCCCTTTTTAATTTGAAAAAGAGTAGAAACAATTTTCTCAATTGCTCATGCACCTTCTGAAGAAGAGTGTATCATGCATTGGGGCCTTTAATAAAGCCAATGCAAGAAAAGTGATGGGATTCTATCTTCACATTAAAAAAAAAAAAACAAACTTCTCTTTTCTCCCATCTTTCTCTATTGTCCATTTGCACAGACTTTGTTTGCAGTGATTCCATCATTTGTGTGGAAACCCATTGGTGCAACAGAACACTTATGATTCATCCTCAACCCAATTGGAATGTGTCCGTTAATTTCACGTACAGAGATTTGAACTCTACAGCTGATACTCTTATGAAAATTAGCCATACTTTAGATGGTGAATTTTGTATCTTTGATCATAACACAATGTTTCCTAGAAGATGAAGGATGATGAAATAAGTTTGTTAGGTTCTTGCTTTTTCTCTTTGTACTTTTTTTTTTTAACCCGTAGGGTTTTGCATGTATGATTCTTCTTTGATGAAATGAAGTTTTTATTACTTATCCTAAAAAAGAAAAAATTGTAGAATTTTCAACTTGTATTGGTTTTGTGGTAAGTGTAAAAGTCAATTATAGAAGTCAAAATTATAATTTTGTAAAAATATATTAAAATATTGAGTTACATGTTAAAATTAATTATCAATCTAAAATCATGTTTTCCTAAAAATATCAAAACATCGATCACATATGTCAAAATCAATTATGAACACAAAAACATGATTTGTAAAATAATTTATAAGATTTTTGGATAATTTTTTTATAAAATTATAATTAAAAAGCTTAATTGAAAAGAATATAATAATAGCTTAATTATGAGATAACCATGTTTTTGAATTTATAATTAATTTTGACATGTAGGACCCATTTGAATTTCAATTAAATATAATTGATAATAAAAAATTTGATTAATGTACATAATTGATTTTGATTATATGTTATAACATGATCATATTTGAATATTATTTTTTTAAAATTAATTTTAATAAAATTAAAAATATTTAGATAATTTAGTCAGAATTAATTTTATATGTGTATATTATTATAAAGAACATTGCATTTTAAAATGTAAGTATTGATAGAATTGTATATATTGTTATTAAATTTGTTGAACTCCGTTTAATAAATAACATATATATAATATAATGGTGATGCATTTAACATTTATATAGTTTTTTTTTAATTTAGATAGAATAACATTTATATAATTATTTAACATATAAATAGAAATTTAAATTTTATTATATTATAATATCAGTAATTTAATTTAGTGTTATTATTATGTAATGTCAGTGCCTACATTCATAAAGTTAGTATATTAACTCCTCTTACTCTTGGCAAAGAGACGTGATGAAGAAAGACAACATATTGCATATTCCATAGAGGAGGGAGGACAAATATTGAGGGATATGGTTAAGGGTATAGTTTACACAAAATTTTTTTGACAAATAATAAATACATCTGATGGTATAATTGAAATCCAGAAGCTCTACTTCCCTCAACTTAATCAACAATGTAGTTTTGATTCAAATAATCAATTATAAAAAATGGAGGTGTTTGGGTGTTCTTTTGCCAAAACCATAGTTTTGGTTCAGATAACTGATTATTGATATGTATAAAATTTGAAAATTTGGATGCTAAGTTAACAAGATTAGAATATTATAGAAGTGGAGTTGAATTTTGGTTCTCTCTTTCTTACTCATCATTTGATATCATCTCTCAATTTTATTACCACCAACTTGTTGATTTGAGCTAAAGTGTTTGGAACTCATGATTCTACATCTATCTCAAATGCCAATTACTAAACAATAGAAGGCTGAGTTTGCTATACTTAATTATTAGCTCCTCACACTCTAATCCCTTGCCTAATAATTCTATCAAGAATGGTCACAATTAAGAAGAAGAAGATAAGGTGCTTTTCATGAAACAATAATCTTTATGTCATTTTTTGTTGTTCTATTTGTAGGTCTTGTTTTCTTCTTTTCCGATTCAGTCCAATTCTTTTTGATGAAAGCGAAGTGAGAGATGCTCCAATAATGGAAGAGAAACTGGAAATATATATATATATATATATATATAAAATTCATAATGTAATTCAATTGATCGCTGATCATTCTGTACGGAAATAATTCTAATCAAGGTATATGCAAATGCAATAAAACTTAGTATCTAAATAGTGAATATAATGGGATGTATTTTAAATTAATGTTGATTTATCATGCCACTTGATCTTTTAATACGTGAAATGATTCATGTGGCATCTACCTATAAATATTAAATCCTAGCAATTTTTTTTTTAAATTCTGACCTTGGTTTTTTCCCCCCTACCCTTGTAGATGCAAGGATCAGTTGTTATTTTTTTTTTAAATTACAATGTTACGGGTAAAATAGTGTGAAAGAAACAAACTAAATCATATCTTTTGAAAAAAAGTTTAACACTCAAGAGGTGGGTCATTTAGAATTATAGCACCAAAATTGTCATGTTTTACTTTATGAACTAGCCAATCAACACACATGTTAAATCTTCACGAAAACATGTTAAAAAATCATAATCTAGTCTTTCATAATATAAGTTTCCTAGTCCTTTTTGATGATGTTAAAAAAGTGTGAGATTAGGAGTGTTTTCTGCTGAGAAGATTAATCTCTTTCATTGAATTAAAAGAAAAAAAATCAACCTTGAAAAAATTTCCCTAAGCAAAGGATGTGAGCTTCAAGCATGCCAATTTTTCCTTTCAAAACTGCAGGGATTGACTTGAGTTTAAATAAGGGAGATAGATAGATAGAGGGGCTGTGTTATATGTTTTATAAAGCATAGTGATTTGTGTTTTAAAAACTTGTAAATTATGGGGCCAAAAAATTTATTTTTCCTTAATTTTATACTAGATGGAAATAGGATCCGACTGAATACCCGACTCCGCATCCAACCCCAAGGCCACCGCGCACCGCTCCATACTATCGCCGCTACGCGGCTTAGCGTTGAGTTTGAGCAATCGTAACCTTGTGCCTCCACTATAAAACCGCGCACATTCTGTCGCTTCTTTCCCTCCACACTTTTTCGCACCATTGTGATTCAATTTGCTTCTCTCTCTATTTCTCGCTCACATTCTCTGTTTAGGTCTCTCGTCTGCGTTCACTTTCGTCCCCTCGTTTGAAAATGACGACTTTCGGAGCCGCAAATACAAATCCGAACAAATCTTTCGAGGTACGTTGATGAAGCCTCCTGAACTTACGGAGTCACTTTCTTGTGTTTCTGAGATGATATGGAGTGTATTCAAATTTCACAGCTCTGTTTCTTCGGTTCTTATTTCGTTAACCGAACATGATATATTTTATAACTACTCGTAATGGTCGAGATTTTTTAAGCAGGAATTGCGGCTCAGATTATTGCACTGTTGATAGTTATACATTTGTTGGGTCTAGCCTTGTCTTCCATGAGGAGAGGCATTCTGTGATTATCTTGCAGTGATTCTTGTTTTTTGTAATTCATTAGTTATTTATTCTACAAGAACGACGATTTATATGAAAATGCTATTTTCAGGTGACTCAACCACCCGGTGATTCTGTCTCAAGTCTTGTTTTCAGTCCCAAGGCCAATTTCCTTGTGGCTACTTCATGGGATAACCAGGTTTGCCATGTCTGGCTTTGTTTCTGTGATTTGCATTGTATTCATGAGTTGATTAGAAGTGTCAAAGGAAGCTGAATGGTTAATATAAGATGGGAGCTCCTGCCTCTCCTAGAATATGTTCTGTTTCATCTTTTACTCTTTATGTGATTGCTTGATCGACAGGATATTCCTTCATTAACAATCTTGCAGGTACGATGTTGGGAGGTAGTAAGGAATGGAACTGCGGTAAGCAGTACACCCAAGGCGTCAATAGCTCATGATCAGCCAGTAATCTATCCGAATACATTTATACAATTGTTCTTTGAGCCTGAACTGGCATTGGTCAGACTTTTGACATGATGCATGTTGCCTGTTGAAGGTTTTATGCTCTGCATGGAAGGACGATGGAACAACTGTTTTTTCTGGAGGATGCGACAAGCAGGTCAAAATGTGGCCTCTTTTGTCTGGTGGGCAACCAGTGACTGTTGCCATGCATGATGCTCCGATTAAGGATATCTCTTGGATACCAGAGATGAATCTTTTAGCTACAGGAAGTTGGGACAAGACCCTGAAGTCTGTAATTTATTTTTCCCCTCTTTATTTACATTATTAAAACGTTCTACTTATATGTTTGTGAGCTTTATTATTGCTAGTTAGTCGAAAAACTGATTATGAATTGTGATGGATTTTACTTGCGATTTTCAAATGTCTATGATTTTAGACCGCATGCATCTTGGCATTATTTTAAAAAGCTGACCAAATAGTGTAACAAAAGCAATTACATAGCATCATAATGCGATGGCTATAACCTGCAAGCATTGCATGAGAAAACATCACAGACTGCATTATTATGGCTGTATCAGTGTCGTAGAAACAACATCTGGCTGAGACACTAATTTCCATGTACCTTTGGGTATGAAAGCCTTTTTAGATAGCACGTGCTCCACTCTGATATATTGTATAGTGTTTATAGTAAGTAATAGACAGCATAGTACATGAATCTGCATTTGCACTGTATTTTCTGCTAACATAATTCTGCTTCTGCTTCATTTTGTGGTTTCATACTTTCATCTGTGGTTGATGAAAGGCAGCTCTCACAGATGGGCCTTTTCCTTTCAATTTTCTCTTTAAGGATTTTATGCAAACCTATCATGAACTTCCTTGTTACTCTGCAATAGTGTTTGTATGACTTTGATTGTCTTTGTGTACTGAGCTCTCATGGCAACTTGTAGCATTTTGGCTAGAAAAAATGCATCTACTATGCTGTTAACTGTTCTAAAGGCTTCTTGCTGTCTAAATTACTTTATGCTTTCCTTGCCTTCTATGAGGTATTGGGATACAAGACAGTCAAATCCAGTGCATACTCAACAACTTCCTGATCGCTGCTATGCAATGACTGTGAAACATCCTCTGATGGTTGTGGCAACTGCAGAGAGAAATCTAGTGGTGTTCAATTTGCAGAATCCTCAGGTAATATTTTATGCTTTCTACAATAGTATTTTGTGGCATTTTTGTTGGTTTTAAGTGATAGGTTATGATGTTGGTTTGCAGCATAAAATAAGATGTCTGTATCCAGGAGCTCAAATTTTCAACTGAGAATTAAGAATTTGGTAGAGTATCTGATTAATATCAATATGCATACAATCTGTTGGAAGCTGCACTATTTATAGGTCGTAAACAATGCTGTGCAATGCACGGGACCCACACCTAGTTTGAGTGATTTGAGTAATATTTACTATTGCATAATTTTTCAGTTATGATGAATATGCGATAAATGATGTTATATTCCTCTTTCAATAACTGAAAAGATGATCCCACTAAATTGAATGTGTCTAAACTGATCAGGGTCCTCATTTACGGTAGATACTGTTGTTTTTATAACAGTTGGTTATAAATGTTAGGAACCTTTAATATCTTAACGTAAGTTTAGTGATATAACATACATGTGGTTTCTTGTTTGTTTTTGTTTTTGACAAAAATATAATCTAGATATAGTTATATTTTAGTTTTTCTATTGATTATGGTTTTCCATAGTTTCCACAAGCAGTAATTAAGGAGCAGTGATTCTTATCATCTGATGAGCAGCTAACTTGATAACCGTCAATATAATGTTTTCCTTCAAATCAATGTTCAAATTAACAGACTGAGTACAAAAGAATCCAATCACCCCTGAAGTATCAGACAAGATGCGTTGCTGCTTTTCCGGATCAGCAAGGGTTTTTGGTATGTCTTCACTTAAAATTTACATTCACATAGAGCAAGTTGTGTTTCAGAATTGCAATCTTTGTTCTCATTTGGCATTTAGACATCCGGATAACAACTGTAATATTTTCCTAGAGGATTTTGAATTGATGTGTCAGATGAAGGTGTAAAGGCCTGATATATTGAGATGATGACATTCAATTTAATGGAGAGAAGGCAATGTATTTTATGCCTATGCCCTCGCTGAATTTAATTTGTATATAGCATTAAACATTACAAATCCCTACTGGCCCTTCAATTTCGACACTACACTTTTTCACATTGTAATTATATGCTCTTTGTTTTTTTCCTGGTGTTAATATTGCTATTGATCAAATCTTCATTCGCTGAAAACATTGCTTTGGTACTTCCAAGATTTCATGTTGCATGAATGAGCATTGACTTACTCTTTCGCTGTAGGTTGGTTCAATAGAGGGAAGGGTTGGAGTACATCACTTGGATGATGCACAACAAAGCAAGAACTTTACTTTCAAATGCCACAGAGATAATAATGAGATATACTCAGTCAACTCTTTGAATTTCCATCCAGTAATACTATGATAATTTTCACCATGAATGATGTTAATTTGATGATTAATAGCTTCTATCTTAATTAATATTTTTTTGCGCAGGTACATCACACTTTTGCAACTGCTGGATCTGATGGTGCTTTTAATTTTTGGGACAAGGACAGTAAACAGAGACTCAAGGTTTCTCCTTATATCTAAAATCCTTCTTCTCACCCCTCTTTTTGCTTTTTCTTAGTGAAATTAATCGCTATAAATTTCCAAATGACTCATTAGTTATCTCCATATGATTTTTTATCTGATTTTTAGAGTACAAGATTTTGTAGACGCTTTCAGTTTAGTCAGGGTTGTTCTTTTTGTGTGTCCAAGTCTAAACAAAGACGTGCAGCCACTTTTATGATACTAATTGTCATTTTCCTTTTCTTGCTAATATCATGGGGTAGCTAAGCTTAGAATTCAACCCTTACATGATGCAATTGAACATGGGATCATTTTATAATGGAATTCATATATTTTTGTCTTCTTTTGTGTTCATACTTCCATCTTGAGAATATTGGACGGTCCTCTATCAGCCTATCTAGTTACATTATTGGAGTATTTGGCAATATTTTGCTTGTGATACGTTACTGTGTTTGCAGGCCATGCAAAGGTGTAGTCTGCCCATCCCTTGCAGTGCATTTAATAATGATGGTTCCATATATGCTTATGCGGTATGTCTTATTTCATTGTTTTCGGAAATTGTATTTTTTACTTCCTATTTGTCATGTGCTGTAAACCAATGAGATCTATGTTCACTGGTGTATAGATATGTTTGATATCCGTAATTTTGGTACTTTTAAGTGTCCCCATTCTTGTGCGTGCACATCTAAAAATTCATATATGGCACCTATCAAGTGTCCAAATGTCTAATCTGCTGTTATTTAGTTATTGCCTGTGATGTTAAATATTACTGTGTTGAAAATTTATTCTTGTTTTTTTTAAGATATAATTCAGAATTATGGGTGTGTTTTCAAGTTTTTGACAGGTGCAAATTAGTGTGGTCCTATTTTCTGAATGCACAATGATTATATCATCATTATATAACCATGCATTTCTCTCCTTGCATTATTTTAACACTTGGAGAATAGTGAGAGCAAGATAATATGTTGTTTCCTGGCAGATGTACTTACATATTTAATTACCTTGAATATAGTTGAATTTATAAATTGAATGTTCACTGTATGCAAATTCAATATATACACAGACATATGTTGCCGCCTGCAGATTATGTATTCTGTTGAAATTAATAATGTCTGTGGGGCAAAAAGTGGCAATAATTGAAATTTGAAAATTCAAGATTGATAAATTTAAATATTCAAGGATTTAGTTGAGAATTATTGTATCTTTTAGAAATTTAAATACCGGTTCAATGTGAGTGAAACAAAGAAAATATGAATCGAGCTGCTTAGATCTCATCCAACTCAGATCAGATGTTTGGGCTAACCTGTCATGCATATGTTATGAGGATTGCAATTGGTTCTGAATCCAGCAAAGCAAAATAATTGCAGCTTTTATTTTCCATGAGTTTCTCTTTTTCTCCAAAACTCGCTACTAATCCTTTACTGGATTTGCCTCTTCCGTTCTTTTCTGCCTGGTTGTAGGTTTGTTATGATTGGAGCAAGGGTGCAGAAAATCACAATCCAGCAGCAGCGAAGACCTTCATTTACTTGCACTTACCACAGGTACAACACTTACTATGCATGCAGTCAACCAGTGAGAATATCTTATCTTGATACTCTGAAGGAAACCCCAAGAGAATGAAAAGATTATATATTAGTTATTAAAGATTGAAAAACAACACAGAAAGGACAATGCTAGTTATTTTTTGCTCTTTGGCATTTGCTTTAGAAAAGGGGGAAAGGATTGATCACCTACTTTTTAATTGAATTATTTAAAATTCTTCCACTTTCCTGTTTGTCTAACAGATTTGAAGCCTTAAATGGGGAAAAATGAGTTATTTGCTGCTGCTTTCCTTTTACCTCATTTATCATGATGCTTACAAACGAGAGATTGATTAGTAGCTTCCTGTATTGATATTTTCTTCCTGTTTAATTTATTCAAATAATTCAAGCAATCTTAACCGCCTTAAAATATTGTGAACAGGAATCTGAGGTTAAAGCTAAGCCCCGAGCTGGAAATACGGGTAGGAAATGAAGCTTCATGTCTGAGGGTTTTGAAATTGGAATTAACTGCTGGATGATATGTGTTAGTGCAAAAGCTAGATTTCTATACCTCTAATCTTTTTACTTTATGTTTGGCCATTGAAACAAGGCGGAAGGAGGGGGGAAAAATGAACGAATGTAACCCACACTTTTGGTCTCATTTGGAATTTCTTAGGTCTGCCCAGTTTAGCGATATGATGATTCATGGATAATGATTTGAAGCACATGTATAGAATGGTGATACCTATTTTTGTTTGCAATTTTTGTGGATGGTGTATTGATGAATTTTTGGTTTTATATAAATAGACATGTCTGAATTGCTGCCTCATTTATCCATCCATTCTATATATGTAACAATGGTGGAGTAGAAAATAATCAAGTTTGTTTCTTGGTTCAGAGCTTTTGCTTTCTTTATGTTCACTTTGTGTTGAAGTTGACTTGTTTTGTGTTTACATGAACTATTAAGAGACCAGAAGACAGACTTCTAAGACAAACCTGGCTCTGAGAAATAGGATTTTCAGTTACTATTGGAGGGACTCGTTGTGGAAAAATTCAGAAATACTTTAACTATCATGTCATTCATAGCTTTTCCAATAAAAATTGTCCAAATCAAATTAATAATTTGTTTTAAAAAAATTGAATGCACATACATCTAGAGCTGATTATTCTAGTAGGCTAGATTTATTTAGACTAGTTTGAATAAACTTGACTATGCAAAAACAGTTTACATAGCCAAGTTCAGTTCTAATAACCTAGGCTTTTAGCTTATTGAGATGGGCTTGAATATGTGAATAATTAGAGATTTGTCCTCCCCATTTTTCAAGCCACCTTCAATTTTTATCTTGAAATTAGTTATTCTTGTTATAGTTATAAAAACAATATACTGCACCTTCAATTTTTATCTTGAAATTAGTTATTGCTACTATAATTATAAAAGCAATATACTATATATTTTTCAAGACACTTGTAGAGGACTCAAATTTTTTAAAGAAAAACCATGAGTCTAATAGTTTAAAATCCAAGATTAAAATATATTTTAAGATTATTTGAAGGCATTTTACAGATTAAAAATGAAAGAAATATAATGATGAATCTTTTTATTTTTTTAAAATGTATCTATAACAATATATTTAAATATACGCATGGTTTATTAATACAAAATAAATTAAGTATTAAAAGATTAGTAAATATTTAATATATATTATATATGAATTTATTTGGACTGACTGACCCAAATAATTGACTTTACTTGGATTCCTTCCGTCTCCTTATAATATTTCTATGCTCAGGCAGAGTTTACATTTGAACCGTATTTATTGGTTAGTGGTGTAGAAATTTCTTGGTTCATGTGAATCTAACAAACGAAAGAATAAAGGTACAACAATCTTATTTATAAAAGATAGAACAGTGGCAAATGAAACACGTAAGCATTCACATGAGGGTTTCAACATTCAACGAAAAATGTGATCAACATGCATGTGCATGTACAATTTTGTTTTTAATCTACTTACTTTTTATAGACTTGAATCCACCTTAACATTTATTAAAGCCATGTTCATCCGGCATGCTTAACAAGGTTGCTGCTTTAGTCATGCATTAATAGTTAATTAATGATGAATAGCTGATTTTCTTTTTGGACAAATTATTTCCAAGAACCAAATTAAGAAATTATTTAGTTTCAGCTTTCAAGGTCACTGCATTGCACACATTTTGAGATGAGTTTCTCTTCACTGTTTTTCCATTACAAATTTAAATCATTTAAATTAAATCTGCACTTTTAAAATATCAAATCTAGTTAAATCATTAAATTTAATTTAACGATTTAAATTTACAGTGTTTCTTCCATTGCAGGGGAGAAAAGCTAACTCTCAAAATTTTGCTGGTCAAATTACAAGTATTTGTCACTAAAATAGCACAAATTTTTAAGTTAAACCATAATTACTACTGAAATAGTACGAATTTACAAGTGAAATTATGGATATTCACCCCACGGAATTTGCAAAAATAAATAATTTCTAAATTTAGCTCTTGGGAATAATTTTCCCAATTTTGTTGCGGGTGGAAATAGAGAAAAGCAGTGGGTCCAATCTCTATCTCCATGAGATTCATAAGCAAAGAAGTAAAATTTACCATTCTCATTTTATTCAAAGAGAAAGACACTTAAATTCTTTAAAAAGTTAACTATAATTAGGTTCCAGATAAAATTTTACAAAAAACAGAGTTGTAAATGTAAATTCAAAAGCTCTAATTACAAATAAAATAATTAAGTCATAAATATAACCCTACAATTAAAATTATTATTTACAATTTATAATTTTTTAAAAAAATAATCAAGAATCTATTTATCATTAATTCCTTATTTCAAAACTTTACTCTCATTGTCTCCTCTATTTATTAGTATTAGGAGGATCCCATCCTTGTGGCCACATAGTTTGAGAGAAAGAAGGAAGAGGATGAGGTGTGTGATTGGAACTGCTTTGTGAAATAAATAATATCTCATTCATGTATAAGTCTATGGTTCCTTCTCCTTTGTCACATTATTCCAAAGTTTATTGAGATTGGAGCCATCTTTATAAGACCCACAGAACATGATAGCCCTACATGACATAATATACCCTCACACTAATGTTTATTAGGACTTTCTTTTCATCTCTTTTTTACTATCTTTTTTTTACTCTTATATGAAAATGATGGTTGAGTACTACTGAAGAAAGGAACATATATTGCCCTTTTGTTGATTAATTTTAACCAAACCACCTGATACTAGGAAATGGGAAGTAGTTATGTTGGATTCTGACTAATTTACTTGGGAGTTGCAAAGCTCTTTTAATAAGTATTTATCAGGTACCTAGTATTTGGCAATTGTAAATTGCTTTTAACTATATGGCTAATTATTATTATAATGATCATTATTAACTACTGGCAACTATTGTTATTGGCCTTTTTTAACTTTCAATTGTTTATAAATTAACACAATTAAATACATTTTTTTCTTTGTTTTTTTTAATTTTTTTAAATAATTATTTTTCAAATTTTTTTTAAATGAAAAATGACAATAACATTAAACAAGTCCTAATTTTTTTTAATCAAATCACTTGACATCGAGAAGTTACAGTAAATTCTAACTAATTTGAATTAAATCTGGAAGAATTACATGAGCAGCAAAGCTTTTTTAATAAGCAATTAACATAGTTACTTATATATTATTTAAAATTAAGACTTTTAATTAAGATTTAAAGTTATTTTTGTTTTAAACTACACATGAAAGTTCACAAATAATTTAAACTCAACTTGAGATCAATTTTATTTCTTAACCTTAGAATTTTGTATCCTCCGTACCTCTCACGTTAATTATCCATTAGTAGGGCTCACATGAATTTTTTTAAATATTTTTTAAAAATCAAATGTAATAGTGAGACCCACTTAATATTTTTTTAACTATATTTTTTGAGGTTAAACCCTCAATTAAGTGAAAAAGGTTAAAGTCACCTCTAAAGTTAATACAAGGTCATTTATATCCTTCAATCATGAATATTTTCATTCAATCACCCTACCGTCTGTTTTGTCAATTTTTTCCACCATTAGTGAGGTACACATTTGAATTTTTTAATATTTTTGTACGTCCATCATTTTTAATTTTTTATAATTTAAGAAAACCCCTCTCTTCTCCCTCTCTCCCTATTCTTTCTCTCTACTTTCTCTCCCCCCTTCATTCCCTCTCTAGCTCGCTTGTTCTTGGATTGAAGAAATAGGAATAACGATGGCAGAGCATTCGGCACGCCGATTGCAGTCTTGCTACGTCATGAATGGCTAGGCTAAAGAGTACCCTAAAAGCATGTTTTTGCAATGGTTGGTGGAGTTTTGACATCATTTAGTAATGGGAAAATTGAGGGCAATGTTAGGAATTAAGGTAGAAAAATTAGGAGGCTTGGAGCCATTGGAGAGTTGTGGCGTGTGAATTTTAAATTTTTACAAACTTGAACAGAGACTTACTTGGAGGTATGGCTTAAGCCCTGAAAGACCTATTAAAAATATTAAAAACTAGTAGGACTTACTAAAAATATTAAAAATATTTAAATGTGGGCCCCACTAAAAGTGAAATTTGAAGGAATAGATGGTAAAGTAATAGAATTAAAAATCTTAGCAGTTAAATGATATAATTGCCCCTTTCTTAATTTTAGGGGTGATCTTGACATTTTTTACTTAGTTGAGAGCAATTTTAGACCTTAACCCTATAAAAAAATGGTGAGACTCACTGAAAATATTAAAAATTCAAGTGTGGGTCTCATTAACGGTGAAATTTGATAGGATAGATGACAGGGTGATGGAATAAAAAATCTTAACAGTTGAGAGATATAAATGATTCTTTCTTCATTTTAGGGTGATCCTAACCTTTGAGAGAGACATGTTAGAACTTTAACTCTTTAAATAAGTACATTTCTCAGTTGGTTAAGTTATTACTTATTAGTATAGAAGCTATAAAGTCTCTACTCATGAAAATTGTTGATGCTTTGAGTTTATTTATTTTAGGGTTAAATAACAAATTTACTCTTAAATTATAGATCCAAGAGCACTTGAAATCTTAAACTTATTTTGGTGTAACTTTCACCTTTAACCTTTTAAAAGTGTGCAATGTCATTCTTATCATTAACAAAAGTTAGTTTAACTAATAATTGACTAGAAATGATCTCAAAAATTATAGAAAAAATGAAAAAAATAAAAAATGACCCAAAATGATAGATAATGGTCCTAAAAATTACCGACAAGGACCCATAAATTTTAGTAGTCTTTTTTTTTTGTAATTATTGAGATCCTTTTCTATAATTAGTTAATGACTAAAGTTAACATTTATTAATAGCAGGGATTAAATTATATCATTTTGAAATTTTAAAGGAAAATCTTGTAAAAAAATGAGTTTAGGATCTTAAATAGTGCTCCAAAACCTATAATTTAAGAGTCACGTTGTTATTTAATCCTTTATTTTTCAAAATAATAAGAATAAGAATTGTAGAAGCATGCCAAGCCTGTAGCATTTGCCTTTCGTACCTTAGTGTCTGAGTGCAACCATTAGCATTACTCCACTTTGGCATAAAAACAAAAAATCCTCCTGTCAGATTTGTCAAGACTTAAAAAGACCAAAGACACGAAGCCTAAAATTAATATTTGATTTGTAAACAATTTAATAAGTTCCTTTGATTTTTCCTAAGAGTCACTACATGTCAAGCGATCAAATCATAGAGTAGGAAGACTAAATCCTTTAAATTAGTTTTCAAAAATCAATTATATTTGGTAAACTAAAATTTACTCCTTCCCATCTTTGTTATTAAGCATATTCTAAAAAAAAAATTGACAGTTCTTAACAAAAGACACATGGTGAGGTATTAATTATATTTTTT